ATAAAATATTTTATCTACTATACAAAGGATTTTATATTAATAAAGTTAACAATATTCCAAATCAAAAACTATATATGCCGGTTTTATGCAGTTTCAATATATTTTTCATATCAAATCATTAGTCTTATTGTTAGGACCAGCTTCAGATCAGTATTGAGCACCGCACTAGAATGTAGATTTTTTAGTCAGTCCTTTTGTGAGGACCGTCGTGGGATCGACTGAACATCGCACTACGTTGCAGGTTTTCTGTGATTACTACTGTTAATACCCTCTTTGACCAAGTGAGGAATGAACTAGAATGCAGGTTTTTAGTCAGTATTACTATTAGGACCGTCGTCGGTCCTACTGAGCACCACTGTAAAATGTAGATTTTCAGTCAACCCTATTGTAAGGACCGTCGTCGGTCCTACTGAGCACCACTGTAAAATGTAGATTTTCATTACACCCTATTGTAAGGACCGTCGTCGGTCCTATTGAGCACCACTGTAAAATGTAGATTTTCAGTCAACCCTATTTTAAGGACCGTCGTCGGTCCTATTGAACACCACTGTAAAATGTAGATTTTCAGTCAACCCTATTGTAAGGACCGTCGTCGGTCCTACTGAGCACCACTGTAAAATGTAGGTTTTCAGTCAACCCTATTGTAAGGACCGTCGTCGGTCCTATTGAGCACCACTGTACAATGTACATTTTCATTACACCCTATTTTAAGGACCGTCGTCGGTCCTATTGAACACCACTGTAAAATGTACATTTTCAGTCAACCCTATTGTAAGGACCTATTGAGCACCACTATAAAATGTAGATTTTCAGTCAACCCTATTGTAAGGACCTATTAAGCACCACTATAAAATGTAGATTTTCAGTCAACCCTATTGAAAGGACCGTCGTCGGTCCTATTGAACATCACTGTAAAATGTAGATTTTCAGTCAACCCTATTGTAAGGACCGTCGTCGGTCCTATTAAGCACCACTGTAAAACGTAGATTTTCATTACACCCTATTGTAAGGACTTTAGTCGGGCCCAATGGAACACCACTGTAAAATGTAGATTTTCAGTCAACCCTAGTGTAAGGACATATTGAGAACCACTGTAAAGTGTAGATTTTTAGTCAACCCTGTTGTAAAGACCTATTGAGCACCATTGTAAAATGTAGATTTTCAGTTAGCCCTACTGTCAGAAACGTCGTCAGGCCAACTGAACACAACACTGAAATGTAGGTTTTCAAACTGTATTACTACCAGAATAATCGTTAGATAAACTGAGCAACATACCAGAAGATTTTAAGTTAATCCTATTGTGACGTCATATCAATCGAGCACTTTGCTAGCATGCAGATTTTCAGTTAGCATTATTGTTTAGACCGTATTCAGACCAACTGAGCATCGTACTAAAGTTTAGATTGTAGAAAACTTTATCAGTTTATATTTATAAATAGTTAGAGTAAGAACGGTACTATTGTTTAGACCGTATTCAGACTAACTGAGCACCGTACTAAAGTTTAGATTGTAGAAAACTTTATCAGTTTATATTTAATAAACAGTAAGAGTAAGAACAGTACTATTGTTTAGACCGTATTCAGACCAACTGAGCACCGTACTAAAGTTTAGATTGTAGAAAACTTTATCAGTTTATATTTAATAAACAGTAAAAGTAAGAACGGTACTATTATTTAATTTATTCATTGTGTATTTTTATTTGTTTATTTTTATTTACTCGATGAAATTTGAACATATAATTATTAATCTTTAATATGTATCAATACCTGGTATTGTAGGTTTTTCCTAAATTTGCTACATAATGTTAGACTTTAATGTTCATAAGGCTTAGTAAAGCTGTGAAAATATCATTATGCTAAATGAAATATTTGATAGAATTATGCTTGTTTTTCAACTAACATTTTTGAACACTTTCAATGATGATATATATATTTTTCTGACTTATTTACCAGGTTGTCCGAGTGTGTTATTAGTTAGTTGCACGTAGAATATTCTCTGTTTTTCTCGAGTGCGTCTCATATCCCATTATTTTAGTATTATTCCAATTTATTGTATGATTGTATTCCAAACTTAGGAGCTAAACTTAATGTAAGTTCCGTTTTACAACATATGAATAAGAGATAAGATTATAATGTAGTGTTAAAAATATAACAGGCCTAACATAATATCTTAAGACAAATGTAGATAATTGCATCATGCTTCTAAACGGCGTCCACGCCATAACAATTGTTATTTGTCTTTTTCTTTCTTTATAAATTATCCTGAAAAACGTCACTAACCTTTTCTATAGCTTTATAAAAAGTATCTAACCTTTTATATAGTTTTATAAAAAGTCTCTAACCTTTTATATCGCTTTATAAACAGTATCTAACCTTTTCTATAGCTTTATAAAAAAGTCTCTAACCTTTTCTATAGCTTTATAAAAGTATCTAACCGTTTCTATAGCTTTATAAAAAGTATCTAACCTTTTCTATAGCTTTATAAAAAGTCTCTAACCTTTTCTATAGCTTTATAAAAAGTCTCTAACTTTTTCTATAGGTTTATGAAAAGTCTCTAACCTTTTCTATAGCTTTATAAAAAGTATCTAACCTTTTCTATAGCTTTATAAAAAGTCTCTAACTTTTTCTATAGGTTTATGAAAAGTCTCTAACCTTTTCTATAGCTTTATAAAAAGTATCTAACCTTTTCTAGAGCTTTATAAAAAGTCTCTAACCTTTTCTATAGGTTTATGAAAAGTCTCTAACATTTTCTATAGGTTTATGAAAAGTCTCTAACATT